AACAAATGGTAAACACCACAGCGTACACTATTGAGTTATGGATGCACGCGGGAGGTTGCTAAGCACGAAAGAAGCGTAAGAGTCGCTCGAGGCGATAGCCGAGAGCGACTCTAGCTTCTTGAGTGCTTAGCAAACCTCCCAAGTGCATCCATAACTCAATAGTGTACAGTGTGGTGTTTACCATTTGTTTTATAACATAACATTGATACATTGTAGCTAAAGAGTTCCCTTTTATTTAACAAATCTTACGTGACCAGAAAATACAAGCGCGCGCGGAAAAATTGGCTTTGCATTTGCTGACGTCAGCAGCGTACACCCATGGGCAAATGGAGGACGCTGAATTGACCAATCAGAGCCCGCGCTTTACTTTGGTTATATTATAAAAGCTCTTGCGAGCTGCATCTTTTAAGTTTTATTTAAACTTGTTGAGAATATGTCAAAGTATACTATACTGTGCGAACTGTCGTCAACGCATCCGACCAACTCATAAATTTCCGAATGGTCATCATGAGCAAACCGTTTCTTTGATCTTAAAACTCGTTCCCGGTTGGATTTTTAAATACGTTATTTGCGCTTGTCTTCCTTACTAAGCTCATACATAAAGGTCCAGGTGATTTTAAGTTAAAGGTGATGAATTGAAAAATATCGTCAAAGGAACAGTTTCAGGATTCGTACCTAATTTGAGTGACCTCAGGTCTCAAATAACATGGTTACCCCAGGCATCAGCCAAATCTCAATACGGTACTGGCCCATTCTTCCTTGTGCTCTCAAATTAGCCGCAGTTGTGCATGTCTTACTGCAGCCTTAATTCTGTGTTTCATTCAAACGGGTTTTAAACTGTGTTTACAAATGTATACCTTCAGGCTGCTGCTACCTGTGAACGTCTTGCAATTTTATGAAATAGTAATGAAGTTATGTTACTTTGAAAATTCTGGTCATCACCAGAAATGCATGGTTCAAGACAGAACGAAATATCCCTGCTTTCCAGGTTAAAATTAGGTTTGGTAAGACACACTGTCTTTATTCTCCGCCTGAGGATGTGCTTCATGTTTTTCATCCGTACTCGGATAAACACGCAGTATGTTTTAGACCTCTTTACATTTATTTATTATTTATTTATTAAGTATCAAAATAAATTCGTATCAGCTAAGTTATGAGCGGTGTGTCTGTCATGTTTTCCTCTCTTTTTTCATTAGTGCAAATCTTGCAAGTTAATTGTACTTTCCGGGTAAGTGTCACAGTTGCCTTCATCTTGTTCTGATGAGCTGTGATTGTCCAAATAAGGGGAGAGATCCCCTTTCCCAATATCTCTCCTCTCGTCTCCTACATCTGTGAGAGAAGAAATGGGTAGCAGAGAAATATCCGAGGACACATCGTGAGCAGTGCTATCGTTGGTGTCCGTCTCCATGTGTTCTGTACCAGATATGTGAACCATAGTTACCGCCGCCGGGTCAGTCATTAGCCCCTGGGGTAAATTAATCTGCAGCGATTCCTTAGGGAGTCGTACTGTCGGAGCATCCTCCGGGGATCGTTGGATTTGAGCCACCAACACCTCAGCTTCATTCTCGGTGTCTGATGACTTTATTTCATCCTAAAAAAGGGATAGCGCATTTTGATTTACCATCAAGTTCCACCGAATACGTCAACATCCAAGCTTTCACATGGAAAATTCCGTACAAAAAAGGGAACAGCTTCAAGAGCAAAAAATTAAATTTTAATTTTGTCCTCAATTTTTTTTTCAAAGTCAGTAATTATATTCCTAGTGGCGAGTTATTCAATTGTGAATTGACCCTTGACATGCTAACGCATATTAGAGAGACAGACCTTGTAATAGGCGAACTTTTTCCACGGAGCGTAAATACGGGATTTGTAAAAGGATAAGCCCCACGCCTCCTAAGAACGAATTTGTCGCGCTCCACGTTTAGCAAAAGTGTACAAGGTTTCAAAATACCCTTCGAGAATAGAGGAAACCTATATGAGGGTTTTGAGAAACGTATCTCTGGAGTTATTACTTCAGGAGAGATATATACTCTGAAAGAAAGAAAATAGCGCGCGCACAGAAGAAAAATATTGCCTATTG